ATTTCAAGCATTAGAAATCAGAGTATGATTTCAAGCATTAGAAATCATACTCAAGTCCTTGCCATTAGGGTCGTATTTCCAGTTCTTGAAACCATACTCAAGTCCTGACTTGAGCATTGAGTATGATGATTTCAAGCGCTGGAAATACGACCCTAATGGCAGGGACTTGAGTATGATTTCGAGTGCTTTAAACCATACTCAAATCCTGACTTAAGCAGACTTGAGTATGATTTCAAGCACTGGAAATACGACCCTAATGGCAAGGACTTGAGTATGGTTTAAAGCACTCGAAATCATACTCAAGTCCTGACTTGAGCATTGAGTAGAGTCCTGGAATATGACCCTAAGGGTCGTATTCTAGAACTCTACTCAATGCTCAAGTCGGGATTGCACTGGAAATACGACCCTAATAGCAGGGACTTGAGTATGATTTCGAGTGCTTTAAACCATACTCAAATCCTGACTTGATCATTGAGTAGAGTTCTGGAATACGACCCTGAGATTCAAAGGCAGCAATTGACATTCTGAAGAGTTCACTTTTTGTGTCTGAAGCACAGAACAAAGCAACTTTGTTTTCAATACGGGCAAAAGGGAACTATTACTTGAGAGTTTTGATCAACATAAAAACACGATTAATTAAACTTCTCGACCAATTTATTCCACATTTGCACTATTCTTAAAACTTTTTTTTTCATTTTCGATCGCAAATTATACCACAGTGTATTATGAGTTTTGGTGGACAAATTAATTTGACATATGCTTATGTCCTTAACAAAAAGAAAAGTCAGCATTTGGAAACGTAAATGTTCTGGATACAGTGACAAGCTACAAATAACATCTGGGTTTCTATTTCGACACCAACAAGTGCGCCGAGCTCTTGAGCCTAGCGCGCGGCGATAACTGCTTGCAGTCTGTGTCGATGGCTGTACGGTGGGTAGGTACATAAATATCTGCCGCAAGTTGTATGTCGACTTCATGCAGTCCGTCTGGTAGCAGCCTTAGGACGTCAGCGATACCTACAACAAGAATTCAAGGCAAAGGCCAAAGTACCAGTTGACTGCGCAAGCTAGGGCGTCCACGCTTGCAGAACATGTGCCAACTGCCAATTGAGTAATGTGCATGTTCTATTTATTTTTCAATTCGGAATTTGCGTAACGAGTTTCCCAAAAAAGTTTGCTGCAATTGAATTGTGTGTAAATAGTTCTGCAAACTTTAATAACAAGAAGTCATTACATTTCATGAGCATCAATTTATAGATACATAAATGCTATTTTACATATTTTAAAATAAATACGCATCCGTTGAAGTCTTTCGCGTCCGTCTTTTTCTTTTTCACTAAATATCGTTATATTGCTATCTCGTTTAGTCGCACATTCCTGCATACGTACTCCTCTATATCGAATGTACCATTCATTTATTTAAACTTGGAATAATTGTAGATAATTGTACTATTTTTAATTTATTTTGCTGTTTTTCGTTAGTAATTCCTTATTTCGACTGCTTTTCCTAATAACCTTAATAAATTTTTGCGTTAGTGTGATAATATGTTAAAATTTTTAAAACACGCTCTACTCTTACTATCTTTTTTATGAACTGTTACAGGGACCTTCATAGAGAACAGTTGTAGTTAGCTCAGAATCAGTAACATTATTAATATTGACGGTGACTGTACTAACCGATCAGTAGGTCCAATGTCCGTACAATATTGTCCTTGGTCCTACTAGTAGGACTACGCAGTAGGCCCGCGGGCAATGAATCTTACTGTCCGATAGTTTTTTGATGGCAACGTCAAGTCAATCCCTTCCTTCGGAATTGCCATGTAATGGCGGTTGGTAAGCTTTTGCAAAATAGTAGGTATAGGTACTATATCTATCGCGATAAAAACTAACAATACTTTCACTTTATCAATATTTATTGCTTCATGGATCTTGGTTCAAACCAAACGTTCATCATCTTCTTTAATTTCTTATCGAGGTCAATTTCGACAGGTTGTGAGTTTACTAATCTAAAATGACTAGGTAAGTATATAATTATTATTGAGAAATGTAACTATTTTTACCAAAGCTTATTTCGAAATGGTAATTTATCCGTTTCGGTCATCTTTTCTTGTCGAAATATCATAGAAATTGTGTAAGAATATATTATATACCATAAGAATCGATACTCAGGTTATTGAAAATGACATCGACGCTTGATAGGCTAAATGGGATAAGCGACAATTTTTGGTCATATTGAGTTATACAGGGTGTAAATTTGAGACGGGGCAGCAAGGCCAGCTACCTTAATCGTTGTAGTTACAGGAAAACGATTCTAGAAGACTATCCATGAATTCTAAGATATTTTTATTGGCATTTATGGATTTTGAAAAAATGGTACAGTCAGCAAGATAATAGGCAATTTTTACAAAACTTTTTATGCCATTCGATCCGATCTGTGGTAAGGATCAATAGTCTATGGGACCAACTGACGTAAGAGTACTCGAAATGTCTGAAATCTCAAAAAACTTTTTACCTACGTTTTAGCAGTAGAGCTCCTTATGAAAGAGTTCGTCCAGTCCAGGGTAGTACTGCCGCCATCCTTATGAAAGACATGAAAACTTTTTAGCCTGTATAAAACATTTTGCAAACATTTATATCTTCTATTTCGAGTTTTCGACGCTAGATGCCGCACTGCGCTTCCCTTTGCGCCACTTCCCGAATACGAAGACGACTACGAGACGGTAGCTGCTAGAATGTCCGAGAACTCGCAAGAGTTATTTATTCGTCGCGTTCCGTAGTTCAATTGGGAGAGCGATAGCCCCAGCATGGCGAGGTTTTTTCGAGGAATTTTTCCTATAAGTTTGTTCGATCTTTGTATCAATAATAACAAAATCACAGCATAATCTTCGTATAATCTAGCGCATTAGGTTGAAGAAGGCCACCCAATGCCTTTGTTCCACAACGACATCGGCAACGTGTCTTTATTGGGCTCTTGGCGCGTGCTTAAGTTCGTATTTCCTCGCAGTGGGCTTCTTGTGTTACTATTCAGATTTCATAGGCTATTATTACTACTGCGTAGGCGTTCTCGATTTTGCATGGGAGTGTCGTATCTATTACGTCATCATCATCATCATCATATCAGCCGTAAGACGTCCACTGCTGAACATAGGCCTCCCCCTAAGATTTTCAGACCAGCCAATCGGACGCGACGTGCATCCATCGGTTACCCGCCGCCCTTACCAGGTCATCCGTCCGTAGTAGTAGGGAGCCGTCCCACTGAACGCCTTCCGTTTCGTGATCTCCATTCCAGAACCTTTCTGCCCCAACGGCCGTCAGTTCTACGAGCTATGTGCCCTGCCCACTGCCACTTCAACTTGCTAATCCTTTGAGCTATGTTGGTGACTTTCATTCTTCCTCATTTCTGATTCGATCACGTAGAGAAATGCCGAGCATTGCTTGCTCCATAGCTCGTTGAGTGATTTTGAGCTTTTTTATGAGGCCCATAGTAAGTATGACCACGTCTCAGAGCCGTAGGTCATAACTGGCAACACGCACTGCTCGAAGACTTTTGTCTTCAAGGATTGCGGTATTGCGGACGAGAAGACGTCCCGGGGCTTTCCTGTGACTGTGTTTACAAGCCTGACTGTGAGTGCGGTCTCTCTTATATTGGACAAACAAAGCGAAGTATTTGTACCCGCGTCAAAGAACATATAGTTGATGTCAAACACCGTCGCGTAAACAAGTCTGCAGTCTGCGAGCATGTCATGGGTAAACCTACACATTCAATGAAGTTTGACAAACCCCAGGTCTTTGCAAAAGAAGTTCGTTATCTACCCAGGATGCTGCGAGAGGCCATTGAAATTAAAAAACATCCTAATTTCAACAGGGAAGATGGTTTCTCCGTACCACCAGTTTGGGATCCAGTATTTCCTCTAATGAAAAATCACAAATAGACATAAGATTGCAGTACTACTTAA